GATTTCTACCTGAATTACATCTTAAGCACTTAGGCCACATTTATGCCACTAGAGATATGGTAGGGTGGCATAAGGTGGCCTAACCTATCCTACCCAGTGTTTGGCAAACAATTTTTTTGTGTTTGGAAACAAAACTTTTATTGGTAGTAAGACATTACTCATCCCATGATGGGTGGTATTATTCACCCCATGATAGCTGAAGAAAAAAGTACTACCAGAATAGTCTATGATATTTCCTAAATATCATTTATTTTCTTTCCTTCTTTTTCTTCATTTTCCTTTTATTCTCTTTCACAACTTTCTCCTTCCTATCTCTCTCCTCACACAACTTCAAAGTGTACCAGAAAGCATTTCTGTTTCTTCTGGGGTCGATTTGACAATTTTTTGGGTTATTTGGAAAGAGAGAAATTTTAGAATTTTTGAAGGTAAAAAATATCAGTAAATAGGTTGAGATATAGATGGTATCATTTTTCTGGATACATCTTGTTAGGGCATGACGTTATTAGGGATGAGAATTTTGGGAATGTTATTAATACTCTTAACTCTCTTGTAAATTTTTATGAACGGTACCCCCTTGGCACCTTATTAATATATACTTCATACTTTTTATCTCAGAAAAAAAAATACAATTTCTCTTACCTTATTAGACAGTATATAATCAACCCATTCTACATCAAGAGTTTTTTTTTGTTTTTTTTTTTATTTTAGCAAGATTCTTCTTCTTCATTCACTTGGATACGTTATTTCATATTTCTCATAAACAAAAAAAAAAAATCTTGTAGAAGCTTTTGCAGAGAGGTATTGCAGATGATGAGGAGAGTTGATTTGAACTTCAAGGTTTTATTAGAGTTTTCTAGTTTGATTGAAGGCAGAGGATGAGGTTGGGAAAAAGCTTGCTGAGAGAAGTGAGCAAAGAAGATGGAAGGCGGTGGTTGATTGAAGAAGTAGTGGTAGCACGGAGGTAGAGGCTAGTGGTGGTTGAGTGAAGAAGAACTAGATATGGTAGCCAAGATGTGTGAGAACCTGAGTAAGAGAGATAGAAAAACGTGGAGAGTTGGCAAACAGAAACAATTGGAGAAGAAGCATGATCTATCATTTTAATAAGGAACTTGAGCTTGGAGCTAGATAAATACATAAGACTTCTCAACTCTCTTGTTGGGGTGTCGATTCTTGGAGGGGTTGAGGACGAGCCTCCATGGAGCCCCAACAGGAACCGGCAGTTTTCTGTTAGATCTCCTTACTTGCACTTGACCAACAGAGGGAGAAGAGTTGAAAAGTTCCCCTCAAGTATGATTTCAAAAGTGAAGGCGACTCCAAGGGTGACTTTTTTTACTTGGGAAATGGTTAAGGAGAGTATTCTCATGCTTGGCTGATTAGAAGATGGAGAACTTCAGTAAATTGCTACTATTTGTGCAAAACTGGGGAGGAGACATGCAACCATGTTCTCCTTTGGCGCTCGTTTGCTCATTTGGGTTTGAGTCGGGTCATTGCTGGCACCACAAGGGAAGAGTTGTGGACATGGAAGGACATACAAAGGGATAAGAATTCTCTAAGGCTTATCCCTTTGGCTACCTTTTGGAGAATTGGGATGAGAGGGATAGAACGACTGTTGAAAAGATTGAATTTTCTTTGGATAGATTCAAAGAATCAATGGTTTCAGGCTCTAATTGTTCTGTTAAGGAATCAGTCACTCTACTCTAGTAAAGATTTTCAGGATCTTATTGATATTTTGCTAAGAAAATAAATATTTGTGTATATAAGTTGCAACCCTTGGTGTCATATTGTAAGATTTTGTTCTTTTAATATTTAGTTGTCTTATTTGTGTCATTAACACTATTTACTAATCCTATTTCTTAGTCTTAATTCCATTTGGGAAATATTACTTAGGATACAAATATTTTCCTTTTTTTTCTGGAGACAAGCTTCAGTTAATCAATAGAGTACTTGTAGAAATTTTCAATTTTCTAATTATATGATGTAAACAAACCCTATGATGCTTGAGACTTTTTAGACATATCTAAAAAATTCTGTGTGATATTATAGATTTTTATACCCAAATCCTTATGTCTGCAAGCTATCCCTAATTTAGTCCAAATTAGTTGGTACGAGACCTAAAAGTTCTTACACCAAATATGCAAACTACTAACTTCAAACAACTCCAAACTATCTAACTCCCCGCAAAAGAAATCCAAATCACAACCTTACAAAACCCAGAAACCATAAACCAGCTGCCAGTCAATTCATCAACCACCATTGAGCAGTGAGTAACACCGCCCCAACCACCAAAATGAGAGCTCACCAATTAGTAGATCTCTTGAGCCACACAACAAAACTCTACTGGAAAACACGTAACTCACCACGCAAATTTTCCTACCCACTACCTCTCTCAATCTCGTCTTTTCGTGCGACGCATCCCACAGCGACCTTCAATCTACAACCCTCACTTCCAGTCTATTGAATGGATGGAGTCCATCATAATCCAATGACTAATAGCTAGCGCCTACATCACACATGTCTGTGCCTAAGACTCTTGATCTTAACCTGTTTTCCCTGACTTTCAAATTTGACCAGACCAGTCCACCTCTTTTTCGAAAAAATTCCAGCTTCAACAATAGTGGTTAACACTGAATTACTAATATCCTACTCAAACTAATACAAAATGCAATTCTGTAAGAACTTTGGTGGGAGACAACCTTCCAGCTAAGACATTCCAAACATTCCTCTTGCTCCATGGATACTTCTAATCATCCTAAGCCACAGAGTGTTGTTCCCTAGGAAATCACCAACGCCATTTAGTTAATAATGATAGGTTTTTTTTTTAATCTAATATTCCTAATCCCAGCTCTCCTGAATACTTTATACTTACAGCATACTCCCAATTGATTAAATGGTCCTTAAACTCCTCTCCAACCCCTAACCAAAGGAATCTTCTCATGTATCCCTCAATCCTAGCTGCTACCCTAATTAGCATCCTGAATAGAGACAAGCAATAGAGTGGGATATTAGAAAGGTATGCTTGAACCAGAATAATTCTACCTCCAATGTGAAGAGGCCCCTTGAATGGCTATCTTAGTTTCTCATGTTCACAAAAGGTTATACACCTCGGATTTCCATCCAGGGAAACCTAAAGATAGATGACAGGTTATTCCAACTTACAACAAACAATCACTCTCACTAACTCATCAATGGAGACCTCATCCACATTAATCCTTATAAGTCCGCTCTTACTCAGATTAATCTTTAGACCCAAAATAACCTCAAAATTTTGGATAAGATTCAGGAGCCAGGGAAGGGACTGATTATCATGATTAAGGAAAAGAATGGCATCATCTACAAATCAAAGATGTGAGACTTCTGCACACTCCTTAACTACCATATACCCCTTCACACAGCCCCTTGTCTTTAGTTTCTTATTTGTACTAGTACTATTATTTCCTAATGCTATTAATATTAGTATTTCTTGGTCTATCTCTTCCAAAATTCAGTTATTTGGTAAAATACTTTTAAAGTTTTTCAATACTTAAAACTTCTTAGATATAATGTCTAATAAACCCTAGCTGTAACGTCTAGATTTTTACCCCAAATGTCAAAGTAGGTAAACTAACTCTAATTTGTTTTACATCCACTCTAAATCATGAATCAAGAAGAAACTTTTTTAATACAAATTCTGTGAACTTCTAATTAGTATTTTAAGATATACTAAGGATATTAAGCCCCCTATACTTCCCAACTAATCGTCCGACTCAAATATTCCGAACAAAAAAATTAAATCTTTTACTCTATCCATCACTACCTTGCTCAAATTAACCCAACTACTCTCCCATCGTCTCCTTAATGACACAACAACATAAGCATAATTGAAAATTTTTGCTTGAATTATCAGCATAAAAGATCAAATAACTTACTTGCATGTAGAATGTATTGAAGTCATTATAGCCATCCCTGCACCAAACACCATGATCAATGTTACCCACTACATATAGCAAACTAACATGTAAGTGTTTGAAAAGCCAAATTTCATCAGTTAAGATTTACGCAGAAAGGTTCACAAGTATAAAATGATAGCTTAATTTTTTCTAGTAGGATACTAAAAATAAGTAATATCAAGAAAGTGGCAGCTTAATCTTCCATCAAAAGCCTATACAAAATCTTGACTACATGGAAATTAAAGAACTGGATCATCAATGCACAGCCATTACAATTTTATGGAAGCAAAGGAAACGTGATCTCTTAGCTGGAGCAGACTCCTTCACACATTGTGAGATCAAGTAACTACAAAAAAGCTGAATGAACATGTACTGAACATAATATAAGAAGAAGGCAAAGCCAAGCATAGGATTCAAGTCAGAATTAAGCTTGATTAAACAAAAAGCACAAAATGGTCTATACAATAAGTTTTGGATAAACTCTGCCATGGAATAATGACAAAATGGATCCAACTAGAGAAGAGATTATATACACATATTTATCAATTTTGTTGATAATTATGTTAAATGCTTCAGCCAAATCACAATTGAAGTAAAAGTTAGTAAGATCAAGCAAAACTATGACAAATTTCAAATTCAACTATGTGATATAACATAAATCAACCTTATTTTATGCCTTTTTTCTAATAAAAGCAACAGACTCGAAAGATAATGACTGAACTAATCACATACTTCTTATAATGAGGAGCATCTCTATCCAATCGAGCAAGAGTACCAGCTAATATCGAAACCTGCAATTTCATTTCAAAAACAACAAAATAATTTTGATTAAAGAACATTATACAGTCACACAGTGAAGCGTAACTAGCGAACCTGCGAACCTAGTGCTGATGCATAACCTACAAAGAAGAAACCCATCTAAAAGGTGCCTAACAGATATCCTTGTCTAAGGTAATGTGACATAACCATAAAAATTAATGCAGTAACACTATTAAGAACAGACAGGTAACAAAAAATTAGAAACTAGCATGTTGGGGTCCATCTCTGACTGTTCCAGCAGAATTGTCCGAAAAAGGAGCAGTACTAACACAAACAAACAAATCTCCTCAGTAGTCGAGACATTTTCTCACAGCTATTATGTCTTCAAATATATTGAAAATTTTTCTCATTATTATTTCTGTAACACCTATTGCCATTCTCCAAACCAAAGCCCCGGATGGAAGAAAGGTAAATACACAAAAGACTTCAAAAACAAAGGGAACAACAACTAATTGTTAATTGCGGTTACCAGTCTATATTTTTCACCCTGAAAACCTCTAAAACACTAAAATAATCTTATGGAAAAATCTCTTGATATCTTTTTGTTTCTTTTTCTTGTAAAGATAACTTGTGCATCTCAACTAACAATATATCTTTCATTTTTATGTAAACCCACAAATTATCACTCCAATTTAGAACAGGAGTACAAGAACCTAGGGATATTAACTACTGTTTAACCAGCAATGCATAGTATTATTATTTTTGAAATAACGCGTAGTACTATTATTAGCAAAAAAAATACTAATTGGTTGATAGATAATAGTAATGGAATTTTCTCAAAATTAATTAATTATTAGGATTCTTGTGCTGCTTGGACACCTAACACTTGAATTTGGTTCTATTAAACAGTGCAGATGTAGAAACCCACCATAAGTAAAAAGGACCAAAAAATTATGTAAATACCTTCTCCCCACTATCATTGCCAACTACTCTGATTTCAAGTCCAACACATGCAGCCTCTGGAGCAAGAGTAATCTCCTCGTAGCTCAGAAACTGTACTTCATCAGGATTATAGCGAAAGAAGCCAAAATCATGGACCTACAGAAAAATGGATACAAGATGTTTAAGTGTCATTTTCACCACGAAATTCAACCATTACCAATATTCCCAAAGTAGTTAATACCATTTTTTTAAGTGGATAAAAAATTGAGACAAGCAAAAACATGAAAGATTCACCATCATTTAGAGAAAAGGTAAGTAATAGTTTAACATGATTTCTGTTCTGCCCATGAAATATAGTAGGACTCACAATTTCCCATATGAGAATCTACAAAGTATTTTATTATCTTCTTTTCAGAACTGCATACTTGTAACTACCTTGTTCACCAGTCAAGAAAAAATAAAAAGGGAAAAAAAATTCTTGTAATTAATCTTTGTAAATTTGAAATTTTTTCTCATAAGCACGTAAATTATGAATGATTAAGGAAACATATACAAAATAACGATTGGAAAGTACTCATTTGTTAGACAATTTTCCATGCAATTAATTATTATTTGTCCACGAAAATGATTTTAAAATATTCTTAAAGCTTAGGAACATAAAAAAGAAAAGGTGATGTAACTGGTGGAAATGAATGAAAAGTAATCATACCAAATTCATTAACATGTCAATATAATGTCCTAATGAACAATATCTTGTCGTATATCTAGAAAGTGATGTGGCTTGCTTGCATTGTAAGTAAGAACACTTCATCAGACCAAGTCAAACATCCTATTCAATAAGGGTTAAGTCAAAAACATGACCAAGAAACTGCATTGATCAATATTTTGTGTAGCTATGCGGAAGATACACTCATCTCATTCAATCCTGAGAATTGTAGTCAAGCCTCCAGTTTCCACTTTCCAAATGTTTAATGTAACTCTATCAGTGACATCTAACTCCCCTCATAAATGGATCAATCACCAGTTTATGTCGATCCTATCCTGTGTTACCATATCCACTAAAGGCACATTAGTAGTTTTCAACTCCCCTGAGCCAGAAAAAAAAACTACTAACCTTTATAACAAGTGAGTGTATATTTACTTAGAGAACCACCATTCATGACTCACTTGACACCCTTCTTTCTTCCTTTTCCTTCTTTTTCTTTTATTTTTCGAAGCAATTTAGAGACACAAGGATAAAGTGTTAAACGCCCCTTTATAGGACTATTAAGTATCACAAAATAATGTAATCAGGAAAAGCATAGCATCTGATATCACTTGAACTCAAAGCACAGAGTCTTGTTAAAAAAGACGAGACGGAGAACACCATGAAGAGAACGCTCACTGGATCTCTATATATAGGGTGGACTGCAATTTCCTCACGATTTACAAACATAGCCTCAGCAACTACAGGCCCTGCAAAACGAGAAATTTTAAAACTATTAATCAAGAATTAGCAAAGTGAAGTTGCAAAAGCGAATTTGTTAACGAGGGCACTGCAAGAACTTGGAAGAAGAGAAAGGGCGGGAGTCAAACGCACACAAACATATATGAAAAGTTAAAAATTCATTACATGTATGCGAAAAGGCCGTGGAAAAGAAGAAAGATTTATACAGCCCAAACTTAAAGAAACTTTCGAAAAAAAAAAAAAAAAAAAAAAACTTTTCGTTTCTGCTTTTTTCCAAGAAAAGAAAAAAAAATAAACAGCAGATCGAGAAAGAGAACGGAATAAGAACATTCTTCGAATTGATGCTTAACTTCATCGGTACTCTCATGTCAGCTCCACTCAGCAGCCTTTTTCACACAAAGAAGCAGTCGAATAATGCATTTGAAAGTAATGACAAAGACAACCAAGATTCGGAATTTCCACAACTATTTACTAAACCAATACATAAGTCAAAAGAAAAAAAAAAAAAAAAGGAAACGTCAAAACAAGAATGAGTAAAAGAAAAGACGAGAACCTGGTTTAACAACATGACGATTTGTCAGAATTATCCCGCGGCGCTTATCGACAACAAACCCGGTCGCATAACTGGCGCCAGCGGCCTCGGTGTCGAACGCACGGCAAGCAGTGGTCCTAAGGACGACGACGGCGGGGACAACTTTGTTAAGGGCTTTCCGCCAATCCTCAGCGGTGGCAACGTTCTCACGGAATGAAGGATCGATCTCCATGCACAAATCCGCTTTCATTTGCGATTCCGTCCCCATTGACGCCTCCGATCCCATTCTCTCGAGTTGATCTCCCATTTCCGTTCACCTCACACTCCTCCTCTCCGACTACCACTTTACAAACGAGTGATAGCTATAAGATTTTCTCCGAAAAATAACAAGAAACCTGAAGGGAGGAGTTAGGGTTTCGGATTTACAGATTTGAATTTTGGGTGAGGGAAACAGAGAGAGGGGGAAAGAGAGAGGGGGGAGGAGAACTGTTAGTCCGCGTGCGTAGAGACGACGAGTTTGATTTTCAGTTGCGAAGTGTTGATTTAAATACTACTTGCGGGCGAGAGGAGCGTCCACGGTAAGTCGCAGTCAGATTTGTTTTCTTTTATTTTTTAAATATATATATCAAAATGAGTTTTAAAAAATAATATAATGTTTGATTAAATTATTTTTCAAACGAAAATAAAATATATATTTTCCTGGATTTACACATTCTATCTATTATAAAGTCCAAATAAATCCAAACAAAAACACTTAAACCCATCAAATATCTAGAGTAATTAAGAATAAACATTAATTAATTTGCTTAATTAACCATCTAAAAATACTGAATATTACTTAATTACTTCGATGATCCGGTGAGAAAAGAGAGTGTCTCGGATGGTCTGTCTCCTGCTCTAACCAAGCTGTATGCAGAAGCTCCTGCAATTGCTCCGGCAACTGGTCCTATTACATATATCCACAGTCCTTTAAATTCATGCTTCACAAATGCTGGCCCCAGACTCCTCGCTGGGTTCATCGAAGCTCCTGAAATTGGCCTGCAAATCCGCACACATACGTACATAAAATTTGTATAACACATACTGTAAATCACACCAAAATAAATTTGGATTCTCACCCCGCTACGAAGACATTTAACATTACAGTCATACCAACAGCAATACCTCCTAATTGCCCGATCTGTCAAATTAAACAGTAGAAATCCCATTAAAGACTAATTAATCCTTAACCGTATACGCATATCATATATATTATATATATATATACAAACCGCTCTCTCATCAATGGAAGCACCAAAAATTACAAACGTTAAGAGAAAGGTGATGATGATTTCTATAGCCAAAGATTGACCGTTGGATCCAACCGGCGTCGTTCCGAAATAAGCATTCGGAGTTATGTCGAACATCAGAGCTAATGTTCCGCTAGCGAGAATCGAACCCAGGAACTGAGCTACAATGTAAAAAAGTACCTGCAATACAATAATAATAATAATAAAATTATTAAAATTTAATTATTTTATTTTATTTTTTAATGTTGTAAATTAATTAAATATACCTCCGAAGGTGGAAATTTTTGAAAAATTGTGAAAGCGATAGTAACGGCGGGGTTAAAATGAGCGCCGGAAACATGTCCGACGGTGTAAATCATCACCGTAACTATTAATCCCCACGTCACGCATATTCCTGGAAACGTGACCGACCCATAAATTTTGTTCACTGCAACTGCGCCGCACCCAGAAAATATTATGAAGTAGGTACCTACCAACTCTGCAATTACCTACATAATCACAAAAATTAAACTTAAATTACGCTAATTAATTACTATGATAATCACGATAAAAGGTAATTAATTACCTTTTGAGCAAGTGTAAAAGCCCATAAATTGCTCGAATTTTTGCTTGTGGGTTCGAGTCTGTTAGTTGAGGTGGCCGTGCCTTCTTCTTCTACGTCGGGAGGTACTTCTTCGATGGAATCGTTCTTGGAAGCCATTGTTGGAGGAAGAAAAACAAGAAACTAAAGATGGGTTTTGTAGGGTTTTGAAGGGAGAGTGAGAGTGAGAGTGAGAGTGTAAGTATTTGCTGTATGTATAGATGTGAATCAAAGGGGTTTAGAGGGGTTACAATAGATACGAGTAGAAACCGTTACTTACAACGATTTTAGTGGGATTGAATCTTATCTTCTAAAGAATTTGTTTAGAAGATGGCTAAGTAAAAAGTTAATTAATTTAATAATTTGTTTAAAATAATATGTATATATTGAATAATTACCAAGTGAATTTTAATTATAAATATCCTAATTGCAAATGTGTTTAGATTTTTTTTTTTTTAATTTAGAGAATAAAAAAGGGAAGAAAATATTGGAAATTCGAAAATTAAAAAAGAAAAAAGTAATTTAAATTTTCTTAAAAAATAATTCTTGGTTATGATATTACAGCCAATCACCATCATCTCAGCGCTTCATTTTAATTTCTCACAAATCATAATTAACTCTAATTACTACTTAACAACATGATAATGACATTGCTAATTATTGTTAAACATTAAATCAACACCCTCTATTTGCTGTCTGATACCGAACTTCACCCACCAACAAATTAAGGAAATTATAAATTAATTCAAGAAATTTCTTACCTCTGATTATTAGAAGAATCCAACATTCGATATAAGAAGAAAGAAATAACGAACTGGTAAAAACAAGTCAATATAAATTTACAGAGTCTCGTACCTGCTCTGTATATACTTCTTCTTGACTATCTACCCTGCTCCAGAAATCTTTTAACTTTAAACATGTCTGAAAAGTTTCCAACCAAGATTTGCAGACAAAAATGGAGACAATACGAGGATAAAAACCTTTTACTGATACAATTAACGTTTGATACAAAGGTTTACTTTACAAGCCAAGTACAAAATTATAATTTCCACTTTATTTGGTACTCACCAGTCACCCGATACCACGAGAAAGGCCTGGACTGGCATTTTCTTCTTAAGTATATCTTATTATATATGTATATATATATATATATATATTTTTTTTTCTACAGTGGAAAATTGTATCATACAAACCCACAGGAGGAAGACGGAAGAAAACAAAAGCTGATCATCATTTGGAAGTGCAACTGGCAATAGGCAGATCAGATGGTGTGCAGACAAGAGCCCTTTGCTGTAAATGTCTCAAGCTCTGTTCCATGCTAACTTGCACCATCTCAGCCAGCATTTTCTTCGCTTTACCGGACTGATCATCTCCATCGATGTGGGAGATTAAATTACAGACGATGTTTTCTAGCGTGTCTGGTTCAAGCTCTGATCTTGGATATGGAGTGTCCCTAAGCAGCCTTAATAAGGTCTGTGCCCTTGCCTGAGACTTGGGTGTTCCCTGCACTGTCAGCTCAAGAAGTCCAGGGATTACCCCTTCTCTAAGAATTGGTTCTCTATATTTACATCGATCACTCTGACACATAGTGAGGAGTGCTCCAACTGCGTGCTCTCGACTTTGGAGAGAGCCATTTTCAAGCACTTCAACAACAGCAAGAATCCCACCTTCTTGATCTGTTAGTGCAGTTCTACCCTCGTCAAAATCCATCAAGGACTCTAGTAGAGCGCTGCACTTTTCTGCTGTTTTTGAAGACTTCTTGCAGGTTTTGAGTAAATTAACTACGGAGGGAATTGGGTTTGTTTGAAGAATTGTGTTGAGATTACTTGACAGAGTAGACAGATTGGAGAGGGCCATCACTGCATCTACCTTGGCTTGTGGGCTTCCATGTTTAAGGATTTTGACAAGAAGGGGGATTGCACCAGAACCACCAATAACTGGCTTGTTTTCTGCAGAAGCAGAGAGTGTAAGTAAAGCTGCAGTTGCATACTCTTGTAGGTTTGAACTTCCTGATTGCAGGAAACCGATAATTGATTCTAATGCACCAGCTTTCAAAATACTAATCTTGTTCCTGCAAAATGTCACAATGAAAATCAAAGAGCAAGTTTTACAATAAAGAACATGAACAGGAACAATTTTCTGATAAAGCATACTAGATTAAGATTAAGACATATAAACGAATTAACTAAAATCCTAGAAGGCATTATCTCGAAAGCCATGCTCATACAAAACGGTGGTTATATAGCAATTGTAAATTGATTCAACTGCATCACGTCCTGCCACTGGTAAGTATCTGTGCTATCTATAAGTAAATAATTTTCTTTACCAACATTCTCACCACAGCTTTATTTATTCCCTAGTTTCTCCAATCATCCACTTGAGATCATATGAAGGTAACTAAATTTGTCAGCTCATCTTTCAACTGTTGAAGTATTTGATCTCTGCTTTCAATTTAGACAGACATGAAGGGAAAAAACAGAACGGGATCTGAACCTAAAATTCAACCGTTCTATAATGCATTCAACTTGGGTAAGAACTGTGTGCTCTATCCATTTTACCGACCTACTTCGAATCTTTGATGCATCCTCTGCTCAAATAAGTTAGTTATTAACACGAGCGGAATAAACTTTAAATGGAAGTGTAACGGGTATGGCTAGTCTTAATTCAACCATTCTATAATGCAAGAAAGGAATCTGAATCTGAAATTCAACCATTCTTAACACATTCAACTTGCAAAAAAACTATATGCTCCATTCATTTCGCCGACCTACTTTGAATCTTCGATGCACCCTTTGCTCAAATAGATTTAGTTATCAACACAAGCTGAATGGACCGTAAAGGGGGAGTGTAATGAGTATGGCTAGTCTTGATTCAACCACTTAATCACCAGCAACATTACCAAAATGGATAATCTTTTCTACAAGTTTCTTGATAACCCATTTTTGTTTGATTCTTTTCTTTTCAGTTTAAACCTATTTGGTTGCTTAAAACTAAAGCAAAAGAACCCCAACCACCCCTTCCAATTACCTCAACTAAAAGAAAAGACAGTCTTGGATGAGAAACCAAAAGCAAATTTGGCTTTTCAATCTTCATTAGAAAGTGAGAGAAATTAAAAAGTAAAACATATGGAAAAGTGCAAAAATAAGATAGTTTTAACTCTCTATTCTACCTCCCAGCCTCACTAACCACTATAATGAGATGATAACTTCAGAGAGAAGATACTAGAAAAGAAAAAAGCCAAAAGGGGAAGAAACTATCTTCAACTCTTTTTTATTTTATTTTAAAGGATTTACTGAGAGAATCCAAACTTGACCAGACAAAGCAAAGTTATCCACAACCCAATTTCACAGTTTACTTTTGGATCATCCTTTCTTATCGGTTATCACCATGTCAGTGATGATACTTTGTTTGTTTGCCAAGAAAACCAAGGAAAATAATAAACGCAGTATTATATCTTATTAAATACAACCGGTGCAACCGTAAGATTCAACTAATATCTTGTTTAGAAAATCAACTCAATTCAATATTAAATTTACGGTCAAAAGTGGGTTTTAAAATTTGATTCCATCTTAACAGAGGCTCTTCTAAAAATATCAATTTCTGAAAGTTCCGTTTTCTACTGAAAAAATGATTAAGAGAAGATTATGGGGTATTCCGGAACTACTGCAGAAACAGAAAAGAAGAAATCCGATTTTCCGGCCAACCAATCAGAAATTAGTTATATTAAAGAAAAAAGTACCGGAAAAAGAAAAAGTTGCGTGTGGGAAACTAATATAGAACAGAAGCTTGTGACTGTAGCGTGATGAATCCGAGGAAAATACTATTAAATTAACAGGAAAGGGTTAAAAAAAGAAATAGTGAACGAAAAATCAAGCGAAGAAAAATCAACAAAAAATTCCTAACCCGTCGAACGCTGAATTCCGGAAAAAGAATTCCGAAAACCCATGAATTCATTCACGAAACCCAAAAAAAACTCCATGAACTAAAACAAATCTCCCAAACTTTTTTTTTAAAAAAAATAAATAAATCATTCGAAATCATAAAAAAAAAAAGGCCCATGTAAATTTGAATTACCAAAACAAGACGAGAATTTGTCAGAGAAAGAGAACATACTTCTCGTCTTTAACGGCGAGATTAAGGAGAGCAAGGAGAGCTGACTCGTGATGCGACTCAGACGAGTCCGGTCGGAGCATGGAGACGAGTGGTTGTACAGCTTCAGAGAGAAGACGTCGACACCTCTGTGAAGTCTTGGTGAGCCGCCGAATTTCCTTAGCCGCTTTAAGCTTCAAATCACCATCGTCGGATTGGATGAGTAACAGAGCTTGACGAACCGCCGACGTCGACGACGAAGACGGCGAAACCGCCGCCACACCGACAACGTCGAGATTGGTGTCCGGGGAGGAGGAGGACGACGACGACGACGAAGAGGAGGAGGAGGTGGTGTGGTTCTCTGCTGCCCCGTCCATGGAAGAACGGTGGGTAGTTGTATGGAAGTGAAAGAAAGAGAGAGAGAGACAGATGGAAGAAAGAGAAAAAAATCAGAGAAGATTTAAGAAAGAGAGAAAGAGAGAAAGAGAGAGAGAGAGAAAACGTAAGGTGAAGGTGAGGGAATTGTTGTATTTGTGGGTGCAGCGTTAAGCAACAGTTAAGGTGGCCACATAACACAAACACATGTATATATATATATATCTCTCTCCCTCTATATATATATATATATAGATACATATACGCCTATACTTCTCCCACGTGTTATGTTCATATTTATAATTTTCTTTTTTAAAAATAAATAAATAAATAAATTTTCAATTTTTTATGGGATTTTATTATTGTTTTCTATTTTTTAAGAATTGATTTGTAAACTCGCGATTGGTTTATTATGCACGCTGTTGGGATCGAGTAGATTTTTAACTTCAAAAATAATAATTTTTTACAAGGCGTATGAAATTAATTTATCTACTTTTTTAACTTATATTAAAATTGATTAAACCTATTAATTTAATATTTAAATATTAATTTTTTTATTTTTATTAATAAGTAATTTAGTATAAAATTTTGTGGGTCTTCGCTTTGATTTGAGTTTCAACATCGTTGACATTTAAAAAAAAAAAAGTATTTTAATATAAAAAAATAATTAAATATTATTTGTTAATTTAAAATTTTGAATTACTAAAAAGCTTATACGGCTAAATTTATGCTTAATTAAATAATTATAATTTACTAATTGAATTATTTCTTAAACCCAAATATTATATTTGATAAGACTTCACTACTTATAAATTAAAAGCTCGAATTTATGGAAATCCAACAAAGGCCACACAACTTTGTTTCTCTTTTAAATATTCTTATATTTTATTCTCAATAAATAAATAAATAATTTTATTTTTCAATAAATAAATAATATTTTAAGATGGGTAACACCTAATTAATGTGCCATTTATTGCAAAAATAACAACATTTTGGACTCATTAATAATATTGGTATGAATTGAAATTACCTAGCTTCTAAGGTATTGAATTTTGTAATTACGAAAATTAATTTTATTTTTAAGAATATATTTGAAAAATATACATTCATCTTTAATGCGACGAAAAATTAGAATCTTATATAGAATATTTAAAATGAAATTAAAGCAATAATAATAATAATAATAAAATTTGAAATGTATTATTTAAATTGTTCTTAAAATTTTGTATACTAATGATTTGATGTTTGTTTGGTCGGAATTTTGACAATATATAAAATATTTGATTAGACAATTAGATATCACTTTTAAGTATAATTTTAATTATTTTCGATTAGACAATAAATATAATATATGCATTATTTTAGTATAATATATATACATACAAGTATTGTTTATTTAATTTGATTTTTAAAAAAATAAGAAAGAATTAAATTATTAAATTTAAATTTAGTAAACTATATATTATTAATTTTCAATTATTGTTTGAAGCTAATTGAGTTAAAATTTAAAAGTATTCTACAAAATTTAATTTTAAAAATAAATTATAACCCTTAACAATAGAATATATACATATATATATTTACATATTCTCGCATAGATATATACTTAATATATATATATATGTGTGTGTGTGTATATGAAAGAATAGGCTAGGAATGTGTCGGTTGCGGGAGGGGGGCAGGGGGCAGTGTGTGGGTAGGCAGTGGTCCATCTACATTATGTGTAAATTGACTAAGTCCCAACCAATCAGCGCACTACTTTTTTTAATAAATTTATTTATTTATTTTATCATATTCAAATTATTTTAATTAAGAAAATTAAATATTTTTTTAATATAAATTTATCAATATTGTAAAATTATAAATTAAAAAAATTATAATTTTATTAATATTTTATATTTTTAATAAATTAAAATTTTAATTCCACTGAAAATTCGATTTAATTTAAAAAAAAAAAAACAAAATGACAGAATTAATTAATTAAGAGGCAGGCAAGCCAATGATTACCCCCACCTGGACAATATCCATCTTCTTATCTTCCATGGGTCCTTCTCACTTGCTTTTCGCACGTGTGAGTACAACCCCTCTAAATATGTATATCAAGTGTATGTACTGTTATGTAGGCACATACAATACATACGCACATATATATATATATACACACACACACACTACATATGAAATACCTATATTAATTTTTTTGTAATTTAAATTAATTTATAAATATAATTTTTTATTTTAATTTAGTATAAAAATAAAAAAAATTTAAAAGAGTATAAAATTGAAAATAATTTAAAAAAAATAGATAAAAATTTAAATTATGGGAGTATTTAAAAAACATTAAAAATTAGAAGTCAAAATACAATTTAGAAAAATTATCCTACGTAAGATGTCTGGTCAGTAGTTCCGGCAAACCAGAACGCGTTGCGTGACAACGGACGCTGACGTAGTACTATGCGGACGATCTGCGTGCCCGCGATTGAATTGTCTAGATTCGCTCTCGTGCGCACAGACGGCGCGGATGCGTTCTCTCTCCAGATGCGATCGGATGATCAGATTTATACGCGATCAATGGTTCAGATTCATTTTTTATTTAAATACGATCGAACGGTTCATATCAAATTGCGATGAACGGTTCATATTTACTCTCTATTTAATTGCGATCTGACAAACCAGATCAAATGCGATGAACGAGATACATAGCTTAATTAATTTGCTTCACTAAGTACCATTCTTAATTAATGAATATTTTTCTTATATGCATATATGGCACAAACATATATACATATATATATATATACATATACATATATATTCATGAGATTCATGAAACCAAATAGAACGAAGTCACAAGCATCATGATTGATGAATCTATAACTTTTGAATTCAAATGTGTAACTTTCGTTGTTTTCACGAGAAAAACAACAAAATGATTTGTTTTGAATGTGTAACCCATGAATTTATATCACCCGTATATATATGTACATATATATATGTATATATATTAAAATGTGTAATGTAACGTAACTATTTT